ATTCACACGCAAAGAGTTTCCTGGCCTAGGTCTCTTCCTCAAGACGCCTCCCGGCTTCCAAGAACATCAAGCATACTTCGAGTCCTACATTCTTCGGCAAACGCTCTCGTCCGTCAAAAATGCGCTTCAGTTTGATCAGCAATTATTGCACGAACCGCGCGTTCTCCTCAATCTGCAACGCTTTGTGGTCCACGTGTCCGAAGCGGTCTTCGAGGGATGGTTTCTTGAAGGCGCAGAGTCCTTGCTCGACTTCGCTGGCTTCCTCCTGGAATATCTCGAACGTCCGGATATTGCGACTATCAAGTCCGTCAGACTGTGCACGCAGCCTATCTCATCAATTCGTAACACCTTCTTGAGGGTTGCTCTGCTTCGTTTGGCGGAATCAGATGAGTCCGAAAGTGGTGCGGCTACCACAGCAGTCATTGAGAAGATGATGTACTGGCAGCCTATCATTCTTTCCTCTGTCAACAACGAAACCTTCTCGTTGAAGATGATTTGCTATCTTCTCTACACGCAGTTGTCCTCTGAACACACAGACGTGCGTCTTGCGGCGGCGAATTTCTGGCGGTCGCTCATGGTGCAAAAGCCTCACGAAACGTCAATGATCTTGGCCGATGCTATTCATGGCGACACAAAAGATCTTTATGATGGCTTCCAAAAGCTCGTTGAGCTTGATAACGAGACGTTCCTAGAGTGGCTCGATAAGAACAAGACCGAGATGGACAAGTTCTTCTATGGCTCAATGACGAAATCGTGGGAGGAGTTTGCCCAGAGCCAAAACAAAAAGACCGAAGAGACTTCTCAGAGGCGAATTGCCAAGCGCAAGGAGAAGCTGAAGCAATGGCAATCTGATGAACTTGCTGCAGACAATGTCTGGAACCATCATGAAAACTCAACAAACCACTGGAGATCCAACATACATGCTTCCGAGCGCATCAAGCACCAGCGCGTTCTTCAAGACCAGCAGGACAACGCCACTTACATGGCAACAGTTTTGGCCAAGCTTGACCACCAACTGAAAGGCCCATGCGGTCTTTTTGAAGACAGTCCACCTGCCAGATGGCGGCTCGACGAAACCGAGGGCCGCGATCGAAAGCGCCTACGTATCGTTATCGATAACACTAGCAGAGAACAGTCGTATCAACCCAAACGCAAAGACACAGATCCACGAGAGCGGCCGAGACTGGATACTACTATGCCAGCTATTTCGGCGAAGGAAGCTGTTGGTGCCACTCCTGTCAAGGCGCGATCAACTAGGTCTGCTTCTTCCGTGAGCGCATCGGGTGATCCATCCGAAGAACCGGAATCTGCTAGCGACGATGACTTTGAGATGGTCGAAGCCATGTATGAAGATGAGGATGGCTTCGAAGACAAAAATCGCAAGGTCATGCGCAGTCTTAACCGCGGCGATCAGGTACAATACGTTTGCAACATATCTCGGGTGGTGGGTCTGGAAGCAATAGAGGGCCTCCTCATTGTAGGAAAGGATTGTCTCTACTTGCTGGACGACTTCTTTCAAAGGTCAGACGGCGAAATCGTACGCGTGTGGCAAGCGCCGCCAGATGAGCGCGACCCCTACGTTCAGGTCATAGCTGGAAAGGAGGCTGTAACTACCCGTCGCCCACCACCGAGGAGCCAAGAAGACGCAGTGAGGAACTGGAAATGGACTGAGGTAATTAGTATTTCCAAACGGCGCTTCCTTCACCGCGACGTTGGTATCGAAGTCTTCTTCGATGATGGGCGTAGCTACCTTCTCACAGCTGTGTCTGCCCAAGCTCGAAACGACATCCACTCCCGGGTCCTTCAACGAGCTTCGCATGTCGCGAATCCGGAGAAGCATGCCAACTCTGAGATATCCTGGCGCCTGGACTCCTTGCGCAACCCGGAAGAAGCACCACAGACGTTTGGATCACGCTTCGCATCAGCTTTCGGAACTGCTTCCGCCCATCCGGCGACCAAGAAGTGGCTGAAAGGAGAAATGTCCAATTTCCATTACCTGATGTTCGTCAATACGCTTGCTGGAAGGACGTTCAACGACTTGACCCAGTATCCCGTCTTTCCGTGGGTGCTATCGAATTACCATAGTGAGGAATTGGATTTGAGCGACCCCAGTAACTTTCGAGATCTCCGTAAACCTATCGGTATTCAGGACCCGAAGCAAGAGCACCTGATCAGAGAGAGGTTTAGTTCGTTTGCCGAGATGGGAGACGCTAATCACGCCTTCCACTATGGAACTCATTACTCGTCCGCCATGACCGTGGCGTCATATCTGATGCGACTTCAACCCTTCAGTGCGGCCTTCTTCCTCATCCAGGGCGGTACATGGGATCATGCTGATCGTATGTTCTACTCGATCCAAAATGTCTGGGACTCGGTGTCCGCCAAGAATATGGCCGACGTACGCGAGCTTACCCCGGAGTTCTACTTCCTTCCCGACTTCTTGACCAACGTCAATGGGTACAACTTTGGTCTGCGATCCGATGGCTCAAAGATCGATAACGTCCAATTACCTCCGTGGGCCAAGGGCGACCCGGCCATCTTTATTGCCAAACAGCGCGAGGCTTTGGAAAGCCCTCACGTTAGCCAGAACCTGCATCACTGGATTGATCTCATCTTCGGGTACAAACAGCGAGGCGAAGCAGCGATTGAGGCCGCCAATGTCTTCCACTACATGACATATCAGGGTGCAATCGATCTCGACTCGATCACCGATGAAAAGGAGCGCGCGCAGAAGATCAGTGTTATCAACAATTTCGGACAGACGCCTCCACAAGTTTTCCAGCGACCGCACCCACAAAAAGAGAATGTCACGAGAGCCACCAAGCTCGACACGTCTGCGGAGAGCTTGCATCGAGTTCCGGGCACGCTACTGGAGTCTAACGATCGCATCTCATCTCTGAACTACATCAGCAAGAGCGACAAGCTCCTTTGCTCGGCACCATTCCGACACAACATACCGCCGCATCATGATCGATACATGGAGTGGGGTTTCACAGATGGAAGCGTGCGCTTCTACGATTCGCACTCCAAGAAGCTCATCGGGCTGTTCGAGCATTTGCATTCTGGCCAGCTGACAACTTCCCTCTTTGTCGATGGTAGAACCCTCATCACAGCAGGAACGGACTGTACACTCGCCATCTGGACTATGAGCAAAGCCGAGAGAGGCCACATTGACCTGCAAAACGCCACAACGCTATTCGGCCACAAGTCATCTGTCATCACACTCGCCGCAAGCCGCGCATTCTCTGCATTCCTATCTGCATCACTCGATGGACGTGTCTTCCTCTGGGACTTGAACCGAAATGAGTTCGTTCGCGAGCTCGATCTAGGCCCACGACAGAGGCGCAACCCAGTACCGATCCAGGCAGCCAGGATCAACAGCGTTACAGGACACATTGTGCTCGCTTGCGGAAGCCGACTTATCGTCACAACGCTCAACGGTGCAGTGTTGCTTGACGAGGATATCTGCGATAGCGAAGACGACGCAGATGGTATCACAGCTGTTGCTGTGTATGAGGGTGTGGGCAATGAGTGGTGTGAGCGCGAACTCATCTTCACTGGGCACCGGAGAGGTGTCGTCAAAATCTTCCATCTAACGCCAACACCCCCGACCATCACCACTCCAACCTCAGTACCCAGCAAGTGGTCTGCAAACCTCATCAACGTGCTCAATCACAGCGATCCTACTTCTCCTTCGTCTGCAGCACCTATCACGTGTATATTACCGATGCCTCATCATGTCTATACTGGGGATGAGGAGGGTAGAGTGGTAAGTCAAGAACGCTTTTCATCCTTTGTACGCACCTCACTCTAACGTCTTTTTACAGTACGAATGGGATTGCGTGCACCGGCATCATTGATGCTCGATAGGCGAACTTTCGATTGTTTGAGTGGATGACTTTTGGTATAGAAATGGCATGGTGTTTTAAATGCTTTTTGCGTTGGCGTAGATAGCTGGATATGTGGCATTGGAAGGTGCTTTGTGAATATTGAATAGACAAGGTTTTCGATACACCCTCTTACCATTGTTGATGCAACGCAATCTTGTTCCAACCAACACACCATCGTGATTCGAACGGAGATATTTTCGATTTTAGGTTTGAACTTCCGCTCGCTAGCCAGATTATTGATCAAATGATGCAGGTGCAGTGCGAGTACGCGTGTTGCGCTCGCTGGCGTGGCTGCTTTGGTCTTGTGATCATGCTTATCTGGCGTTTGCTTGGCGTTTGCTTGTTTGGCTGGGGAAGGCGTGTACTTGCATTGCTGGCGACTTGATCTCCCTTGCATTACATTTCTGACTAAAAAACCTACGTAGCTGGCGAGATCATGATGTTGGAGGCCTTGCATCTTGAGGCATCGAAGAGCTAGTAGGATGTTGTTGGCGCATCTGTTGCTAGACAGTCGCCATATCCGGTGTGCCTTATCGGTGATTGGTAGGGACTTCGGGACTTCGATTCGAGAAGGCGCAGGGATTATTCAGCACAAGGGTCTTGAGATGACGTATGTAGTCTTCTTGGAAGATCTTGGAAGAGCCATTATCCCGTCTTGAATTTTGCTGGTGCACTTATGTTGGGTACGGAGGGTTCAATGTTGAGTGTCGCTGCAATGATCAGCTTCCACTGCCAAGGTCTTGCCAAGTCCTGGAGTATCGTAGTTTCCACATTCTAGTTGAGCCGCAAACACTATAAGGGTCTCGTGCCCCTTCTAGATCAATGGAAATAAGCCAAATATCGTCTGCTTTGAGAGTTGGCCTTGGTCAATTGCGGGGTTCAGGGAAAGGGTACAGCTGAGCTAGCACCGCAAACAGCTAGCCCGTGGGGGAATGAGATCCGCACCTGCCCGAACACAGCATGACCCCACTGTTAGGCCGCGTGCTTTGAGCCAATCCCAACGGATTCGCACGTCATTTTTCGCCTTAAGTCTGGGTCGTCGTCGCGCCGCCGTCGCTCTTTCGCAACTCCAGAACGACGCGACATTCCGAGCGACAAACCGAACGATACATGGAGTCGCCGGGAACGCCCGCCGTGCCAGAGACTGCTGCTAAGAAGCGCAGAAGACCACTTAACGGTACGCGACATGGCCTCTTTCTTCGGCGATAGGTGTACTAACAGAGTTTCGACAGCCTGCGCTACTTGCCGTGCGAGAAAGGTAGGATCTCATTGACTCTTGCGTCTTTCCTATCTTCAAACACCCATCCTAGGACAACGGGCATCTTGCGAGCGACCATTAGGTTGTCGCGATGGTCATAGTTCCCGCGTCGGGGTCTAGGAGATCCGGCAAACCATAAACTCAAAGCCCGACATAGCTGACAACCATCTAGGTCAAGTGCGATGAACGCCCAAACGGCTGTCTGAACTGCGAGAGGCTGCAGCTCGACTGTGTGCAGAATGGCGGTGTTTCGACTGCCGCGAAGAGACCAAGCACGGCGTACGAGCCTGTTGTAGGCATCAAGCGTAAACGGACATTCCGATCCTGCATTCCTTGTCGAGACTCCAAAGTCAAGTGCTCCGGCGAACGACCGAACTGCATAAGATGCCAGCAGCGCAGAACCTCATGTGTATACGATGCTGAGCAGGTGGAGCCAGCCTGGGTACAGAGCATTGCGACTCCTGCATCAGACACACACGCCGACTCCGTAATGATACCTCCACATACTCCGCGGGATTCCCGAGAACCTTCTAGGCTACTCGGCTCACTATCGAGTAGCGAGCCTGCTGTAGCGGGGTGTCCTCCGGGCCTACTATGGTATGCTTCACGATACTATCGGCGTGCATCGAACTTACGAATATGCACAGGTTGTTTTCCCAGCAGCTACCACCCAGAATCAAACTTCATGCGTTGTTAGATGCTTACTTCAACAACGTCCACCCAATCCGCGTGTTCGCGTTCGAGCACAAGCCCTCGTTCATTCGAATGCTAGACGAAGGACAGCTCGTGGATGCGTCCGATCAAGCCCTCTTGCACATAATGTGTGCACTGGGTGCTCGATTCTACGCTCTCGACTACAGTGAGTCGTTCTCGCCCTTGACCAAAGATCTGATCCAGTCAGCCGGAAGCCAGTGGGCTAAAGTCGCGGAAGAGATGTTCTTCGCTGATTACAGCACCATCTCAATCACCAAACTCAAGGTCTTGGTCTTGCTTCACGACCAAGAAGCTCGCAATGGCAACTATGCTGGGTCTTTTCTTCTTACCGGCCTTGTCATCCGTATGGCGCATGCTTTACAGCTCAACAATGAAGTGTCACCAGATGTTCTTTGTAAGGAATTAGGAGGAAGTCCAAATGAGGTTTCTGTGCGAGAGTCTCGTAGAAGGCTCATGTGGGCATGCTATATGATTGATGTCTGGGCTGGTAGTGGCGTCGACCACCTCACTATACTCAATGAAAGAGACCTCAAGATCCAGCTCCCTTGCAACGAGCGTCAGTTCTCACTACAGATACCATGCATTACGGAGCGACTTGAGAGGGGTACGTTACTGGAGCTCATGTCTCCAGAGGATATCCCAGAGAAACCAGCGGACAATTTGGGTATGGCTGCGTACTACGTGCGCATCGTCAGTATTTGGCGACGTGTTTTACGGTGAGTGTGGCCAGGATAAGCTCGCAGGTCTCAAATGCTGACTTGGAATAGGTTTGTGAAGCACATGGACGAGGAGCAACCGCCGTGGCTTCCAGAGTCAGGGTTCGCCGTCCTTATCGAGGATATCCAGTCGTGGAAACAAAGTCTGCCATCCTGGCTAGACTTCTCCGCGGACAACATCTACATTCGGCGCGAAACTCATCAGCTAGGTGCCCTCCTCCTCATCCACTGCATGTACCATCACGTTATGTGCGACGTCCACAGGATCGCTCTCCCTGACCTGTTCAAAAACCAGGAGCCGTTCGTCTTCCCTACTGATCGACAGGCGTTCGTAAGTCATCTGCAAGACGTCTGCTTTGAGCATGCGCAGCGTATGTCGGTTCTAGTCTCACACATACTCCAACACGGTGTCAAACACTTTGCGGACTCTATACTGCCGTCGTTCGTTTACAACAGTAGTCGCATCATGCTCTACTACATCGCTCGGATCCTGGACGTATCAAAGCCCGACGCAGGAACTGTTATTGGTCGTACAGTCGAGCTAGTGCAGTACAACAACCAGGCTTTGCGGGAGATGGCGTTCATGTACCCACTTGCTGAATCGTTATGTATCACCTCCGAGCGCTGGTTGGATACTGTACGCGACAGTCTGGCTCGTGGTCACTCTGCTGACTACATTGCGCCTCAGGATCCATCAGAGAATGAAGCGCGGCGCATTGTCGGCGCGCCTGCGCCGATGGCGGGCACTCCTAGGCAGCGAAACGCTGCCATTTCGGTTATCCCTCCCGTTGAGGAGATACTCTCGGCAACTTCGCCTTCAACTCTTCGCACGGCTACTACTCGTTATCCATTCTCGGCGCCTACCACTGGTCAGGGCGCTTCTACTGTTACATCAGGCCAGGCCATGACAACACCATCTGAGAATGCGGTAGGACCAATATACTCTTCCCCCAGCGCGCCAGCTGCTTTCGAGCAGCCCATGTTCAACCTGGACGACCTCCAGAATTTCTTCGGATGGGAAGCAAGTGATGATGAGAACGTGCAGTCTACTGGGTTCGAGGGCTTTGGTCCGCTGGGCTGGGCAAATAATTTCTCCATCATGTAAGTGAGTATTGTATTGTGAAAGTAACCTGCTGGGCGTTTGGGCACGGTCTTTCTCAGGATATACCTCCTCTCTTCCGCTAGCATCGACGCGGTAGGTTCTCGGCCATCTTGGTTCATTAGTAGATGTTTCCTCTTTAGGAGCAATATTAACTTTCTAAACGCACTTTGACTGGCCAAAGTGGTTAGCTAAACCAGTAACATCGTGATTTGAGCGGTAAGGTGCCGCTTATCCGCGCAGCATGGTCCAATAGTGATGCAGACAACGGACACCGACATACACAGTAACAGCCAAGCCCAAAAGCCGGGTATTTGGTACTTTGCCGCTCTACCAAGACTCTTGATAAAGACATTTATATCTACGAAACTCAGCCAAAGCCCTTCGCACCAACATGGCCCACACCACACCACCAACCAGAGTATTGAGCGCAAAACAAGCTGCCCTCAACAGATTCCTACAACAGAACTGGCACTATTGGCGCTGTCTTTACATACCCGGGACCTTCCTCTTCATGCTTGGTTCCCTCAGCCTCGCGTATGCGGTACATCTGGATCGAGCGCGCCCGCACGAACTCCCCAAACCTCAGGGGATATCCTCGTTCCTGTTCTACATGCTGGGACATCAGCTGCTACTATACGGTATTCTGATCTGTACGTTCTGGTATATGCTCAAGGATGAGCGTCCTGGACCGGGGTTCGCCCGCGCTGATGCCGACAAGAATGCCATCGGATCTCTGAAGGGTAACGATCTCACCCTGAATGATGGCTCCGGATCTTTCGCGGAAGTGCACGCAGTCCCGGCAAATAATCCTTATGTTATCCGGCTTGTCAGGTCTGCTATCACTGTCGCAGCTTCGGCTTTGAGCTTCGTCGCCCTGGTGGCCCGATATGATTGTCTAGCCGGCGGGCCCTCGATCACGCGGAAATGCTATACAGTGAGCATTGTATGCATTACAGTCGCTTTTTTGATGTCTTTTTATGATTTCCTCGAGTACACTCGCAAGTTTCGGGCATACTTGAGGGATAGCGCGGACTGAACAGGAGGTTGAATCCGGGCTGAGAGGGTACTGGATGGAGCACCAGGAAGAACGTGGATGAGATCATGTTGTGTTGTACGTAATGCTTTGCTTATTAGATATAACTAAAGTTCACTTGCCATGCAAGCCCATATGCCAGTGTTCACGAAACGAGTAGTCGGCTACTGAGAAGATGTCCAGCCATGCTTCGCTTCCCATATCCATGCCACGTTGGTATACATGTTTGTCATGTATACTATTCTGAGCGACGTTCGTTTGGGTCCAATACGTGAAGGCGGTCTGTCCATCTGGCGATATAGCTTCTATCATGAGGATTTTGTTCTGCTCTTGTAGGATTGGAAATTCCGCTTGGAACCAAAGGCCTCCCTTGTTGACGTAGCCGGGAGTATTCGCGCCCGGACCGATACTGGCGTCCATGACAGTTGCAAAGACTTTGCATAACGATGCGAAGGCTTTGGACATGTTTGTGTAATACTGTGTTCGCCATGTCTCGTTGTTCATGATGCAGCGTAATGGGTTGGAACTAGTGGCTTCGCTATTGTAGTATTCTTTGGGCCAGACATCCTTGACTCGATCAGCAGGGTCCGGGGACTATGTAGCCAATATGCAAATACCCATATCGTTGTCATAGGGGACTCCCCGTTTGGTCTGGTCTTCGCGTAACGGCGCGCCGTCTCGCTCAAGCCGCGCGTGTAGAATAGACAAAGGTTAGGTTCAGGTCGCAATGTTGCTTCCGCTTGGAATAATTCGACGGTGTATTTATCGACGGTGTCCCAGGTCGCCTTTGAGCTGTGGGTTTGGGTGCAGTCATCGTCCTTATGTGCTAGCGGAGCAGCTCCGGTGACGAGGAAGAGTTGGTAGAATGCTATAACAAAGGAAATGAGCTTCATGGCGAAGTTGAAGTGTAACGGGTTGGAGTTGAAGTTTCCCGTGCAGCAGGGTGGAGCTGTATCTAACCTAGGTGTGAGTGGCCCCCAACGCCCATCCATGGCGAGGCTGAGCGTCAGGCGTGCATGCTCGGCGCCTGCGCCCTGGCGTCAAGTTTGCGCATCTTGTCAGCCCAAACACCAAGGATACGTTCGCACCTCACACGACCAATCTCATCTCTTTAATGGTCTGGTATGCCTCCCATGCACGTGGTTTTATAGCATCCAGATAGTCAAGGCTCAACCGGATCAATCGTGAACCGCGCAATGCCTACCTAGGTAGGTACCCAGCCAGCGAGTCTGCGAGGAACAACATCTCAACGGTGTGCCATGCACACTTCAAATGAAATCACGAACATATCGCTAATTGAAACAACTCGGCTACGGAGATGGGAAATGGTGGATGGTGGGCAGAAGACGATAGGTGGCAAATTGTGAGATGGTGGCTGGTAACCAAGCGCCCGCACAGCCCTGCCCAGACGCGATCTCGGGTGCGTCGGAATAGAGTTAGCTTGCCCCCGCATTTGTCTTAGTTGAGCATGGGCTCAGGGCCGCTCATGTAACCTGGGCCGAACGATCACAACGCCGACGTCTCAGTCATGGCTAAAGTTCCAGGGCACGAAGGCAGCGATACCATTTTGCCTTCTTCTTGTATGTGGGTATAGTACGACTAGCGTCACTACGACGGGAGATATGCCTATGTCACGTACTTGAGTGTTTACTATTGACTTGGGCAGCAGGTAGAGTATGAGATGAAAGATACGTTTCAAGATTGACAGTACAGATACATTGAGCCTAACAATCAAGTTCGCTCGCCTTTGACTTCAAGATCGCACTCGTATCTTAGGCGGTGATGCGGTTTAGAAAGTCTGCTCTCCTCATATCAGGCGCCAGCCGCCGCGAAACTCACTAGCCACGACGAGTCCGGAAATGTTCCTTCGCTCTACCAGTGGGACGACCCGTTTTTCGCTTGCTCCCCACCCAATGTCCAGCCACTTCGCAAACACCTCGATCTAGTGCTGGGATTTTTGCGTTTCCAAATATCTCGTCTGTAGTCAATTTCCATGGTTGACCTCCCACATCTGAAGCCATCAGCGTCGCTGTTGGGTTTACGTAGTTCATGAAGAAACGGTCCATCGTGATTCCGAGTGCTTTCGCTCTCATAATGTCTCCATGTATGAGCGTTGGGTAAAGGGGCATGCCGATGTAGTATACGCTGATGGAGCGCAGATCTGGAAGATAAGTGGTCGGATCGACAACGGTGTCGTTCAGCAAGCGTATCACAAACCCCGTAGAGAGACCCATACAGTCGACAATAGTCAAAGACTTGAGGCTCACCGGCAACACCGAGAACAAAAGTCCGTTGGCCAGCACGACATGACTAGGTGGAAGCGCAGACTCTGGGATTATCAACGTCTGCAAGTCATCGAAATGGTAGTACATGGGCGAGATTCGTGTAGCACGAGAGAGTGTTATACCACTCCATGAGGATGGCAGCTCCAGCTTGGTGAGGCGAGAGTACTTGGCTTCGAAGACTTGGGCGAGGTACTTGTGCTCTCGTAGTTGTTGCGTCGAGGGGTCATTGGTCCAGTGACGTCGGCCATCAACCCGCGGGCTCATCGGTCCTTGCCATGGATCTGCGTCCCTGAGCAACATTGGATAGTGAAATATATGGCCGCCACCGAGAAGTAGTTCCTCGAGATTCGGTAGTGCTAGGAGCAGCAGACCAAGGAAAGCGTTGTTGTAACCTGATCGGAGCGCGTCTGCCCACATCCGTTTGTTCCGGTTGCTAACGTCCTCAGCCTCCCGGATGGTGTTTAGGCAAACTGTCCGGAAAGTGAACTCGGCCTCGATAGCGAACTGCCTAGACGGCATTCTCGACCGACCTTGCGCATCCGCGTATTGTAGGAGCCCAGCGCGCAAGCTGCGCCGAAGATGACGTTCTCGGGCACTGTTCCAGGGTTTTTGCATACAGCCATCCTCGTCGCCACCGTAGTTAGCTTTCCGGGCCTCAGGGGATACATAATTTGTGATTTCAAGCGACTCGACCTTATCGGCCCACTGAGTGGCGGAAGACTCTCGGAGCGTTCGAAACAAGGCGAATGCTTTCGGGAGTGGGACAGTAAGTGCTTTGAGCTCTTGAAAGGTGGTTCGAACGACTTTTGGAAAGCGTGTATTTGCGGCGGCCAGAGATGTCAGATTTCCGTAGGCGCTTCTGTCAAAGCGCGGCTCGACTATAAGATGAGGGATGATTTGAAGAAGTAGTTCGTCGGGAAGGTCCCTGATACTGGCCTTGGGGATACTGCTGGCTGTGGAGGACGACATGGCTGACGATCAATAGCCTGGGAGCGTGTGGAGGGGTAAGCTTACGAATAAAGAGTATCAACAACAGTGATTACATGAAGCAAAATAAGAGCAAATTCATAGGTAAGTGTTAGTAGGCACCCGTCTGACTACACAAGTGCCCCTCTATTCGTTCGATTAGCATAGACATGGTAGGAGGTGCGGGGCAATGGGATCGAAGGGTAACCAAACAAGGCGAGATAGGAAATATCCAAGGAAGATTCCCTAGCCAACATGTGCTGTTGCCTGGAAGGGGTTCCGTCTCGAGTGAAATGGTCGCAAAACCTGTCTCCATATAACGAGTAGCAAGTGCAATAGCCACGAGCTTCCTCGAGTGGACAGTAGCGGACGTAGTGAATATTGGAGAAGGCTGTCACCCACTCCAGTAGAGCCATCGAGACAAGTGGTGTAGTTGTTAAGGAAATCGCAGAAGCTGCTACGTGCCTTCGTTGCCCGACCGCATGTGTTTCATTGCACCACAAACATACGTTGTGAGTACTTCCTTTCGTGGCTTGTCTTTGCGGGCACATGCGGTCTGTCGCTGGTATCAATCCTGTCTCAATGCTCAGTGCTGACTAGACGGCAGACGAGTGTTGTGATGAGATCATCGAATACACCGACACAACCGTAACTGTGACTGTACTTCGACCTCCTTGGGGGCGACATCGATGCAGCCCTAACGTAACAGGGACTTGTATGTGGTCAAGTGGTGGAGGAGCAATCCCTGCGTGTATGAAACGGACGTCCACGTACTCAAAGGGCCTGAAAGGGGGCATCTTTCCAGGAACAGATTTCTGTCACTGCCGGTATTCATATCCTATCCAGTACGCAGTGTGACTGCACCTTGAGATACGGCATCGGACCGTGCAAGATTTAATGTGGTTCTGCGACCAGCGACCTTGCATACATGGCGTTCACAACCTGTCAAGGGGCGGGTGACTGCTGACTCGGTCCGATTTGATCGCTGAAGGGATCATCCGCCAACGGTTTTCTCCGCAGCTCAGGCACATGCTCAAAGTCATCACTGGCGAGAAATCTCCTCTTCAACTTGTCGCGTGACATCGTCGAAGTCGGCGAGAAGAAAGATCTTGCGACTACCCTTCATGTCGGGCGATAGACTAGCATAGTGCTCTTTGGACTACCAATTCGATAGTCAGAAGGCTCGAAGCTGAGGTTTGCGTGTAGCTCGACACGGGCATTCGAGGTGGAGCAGGCACGTGGCGTGGAGACGCGTCGGGAAATTACTGATGGCCCAATTCGTCCAGACAGCGCTAATCCTCCACCAGTTCGGTAAAGCCAGGGTCAGGGCGCGGGTGAAATCTCCAACGGTCGTCTCGTGGTTGTAGCGCGATGTCAACAAAAGGCTGCGTCATGGAAGGTCTACAGTCTCCCCCCCGGTTCGGGTGCAAATACGAGTTTTAAGCCAAATTATAAGGTCTGATTAGTTAAAACCCTAGCAAAGACGATTATTAAGCAAATAAGCCCTTGTTTAGGAGGTTTTATTCCTTGCTAAGGTTCTTGTTATGCTTCTCTATTGGCTAGAAAAGGGTCCACTTTCTGTCGTATTGGCACCCGAACCGGGGGGGAGACTGTACCGTGCACGTGTGAAGCTACTAGGCTGAAATGAGCACGCTACGCCGCTTGGGGAACTTTCGGGCCGATCCAGGCAGGAAGGTGCCTGAGTGCTGGCTTCCGACGATCGGGCAAAGACAACACCGTACTTTCTGTAAAATCGCGACTCAGTAGTTTGCGCGACCACGTCGTGGACTGCAGCTTCAAATATACTTGGGTAACTGAGATCAACATACTGCAGCTCGACTACACCAAAAGACGGACATACGGGCCGATAGTTCACGTTGTAACAGTGAGATGTGGCTGAGCGGACTGCAACCCACTGACAAGGAACAAAGAGCCGCTCTGAGAACGACCAATGCAACGAGGATACCAGTGCGACGGCAGCCCTATCTAAGCTTTTCTCACTGAATGGGTCATACCAATGAGTCGCTGGAGACGTCTACGATAGTCCGCATCGAAGCCGCGAGTTCCGCGCCCTGGCAGTTCTACCCCTGATGCCGATCCCAATCGACACCAACACGATGACCTGAAGCGCACAGGTCATGACTCGAAGCTGTTAGAGGCACAGCAAAATAGGAAGAGTTTTGGGAACCTGAAAGCGGCATCGCGCATGGCGCATGCCCTTAAGGCATCTTGATTAAGCTTCCTCTTGGTAAGGCGAACTAAATGAATGCAGGGATGCATACCTGGGAGAACCACAACTGACAGTATCTATGCCAAGCTGCCAGCCTCAAGACAAGATACGGTGAGGCTGTCAAATCTGCCATACTCCAGCTAGAAATTACTCGAGCGGGGCAAAGGACCCGTGCTGGTGGTTTCCACCTTTATGGGGTCACCAACAGCGATCTACGCTCATGATACCACTTCATAATGGCCGAATGCATGGGTCACTCCAGTGGATCAACTACGGACACCCTGGAATCAGGCTTCGTCATGTCGATCGACATCCTACTGGTCTTCCTAATGCACACAACGGTGATATACCGGATATTACTGTGCTGCCACACTTGTACATGGTGTGGCGTTAGGAGAGCGACGTTGGAGTGGGTGAGTATATAAGTACTATCGGCTCCGACTTCAGTAGTAGTATCATCCAGCTACAGATCCACAGTCATTCCTTTTTTACGACACTCGCTTTTTGCTCCAACTATTTTACAGTCTTTCCAAGAACCCTAATTCTCCCAAGATGCGTTTCAACGTCCCCGCCATTCTTGCAGCCGCCGCTGTTGCGAACGCCGCTGTTATTCCCCAGATCCCCAAGGTTGATGGCGTCGTTGGTGGCGCCACATCTGGCGTCTCTTCCACCGTCAACGTAAGTACACTACAAGCCGTCTTATGATTACTCAACTGACACCTCAACAGAAGGTTGAGGGTGTCGCAAGCCCCAAGATCAACGCCTCCATCGGTCGCCGTGTTAACGCAAAGGTCGGCACCAAGTTCGGCTCCGTAGACGCCTCCGTCGACCCCAAGAAGATCAACGCCAACGTTGGTGCCCACATCACCAGGCGCCAGGTTCCTGACGTTAAGCCCATCGTTGGTGGTGCTACCTCCGGCGTCACTTCCACTGTCAACGACGTCAAGAACGTTGGTGCTTCCGCCAACGTTGAGGCTCTCGACGACGTTGTCGAGGTTGAGGTTGGCAAGCGCCAGGAGCTCCCTGTCGCTGGTGACCTCGTCAACGGTGCTACCTCCAAGGTCTCCTCCACTGTCGACGACGTCAAGAACATCGATGCTAAGGTCGATGCCCTCGGTGCTTCCATCGACGCATCCATCGGCAAGCGCCAGGACCTCCCCGTTGTTGGCGACCTCCCCGTCGCTGGCGGCGCTGCCGGCGACGTTACTTCCAAAGTTGGCTCCACTCTCGCCGATGTCCAGAACCTGAACGTCAACGACATCGCTGAGGGTGTCACCGCCCCTGTTGCCCCCATCGTTGACGGTGTTGAGTCTGCTCTCAAGCCTGTTGTCGACGGTGTCGAGCAGGCCGTTGCTCCCGTCACTGGCGCTGTCTCCGGCCTTGTTACCCCCATTGTCAACGACGTCAAGGACAGCGCTCTCGGCACTGTCAACGGCGTTACCTCCAAGGTTGAGTCCACTGTCGGATCCACTGTTGACGACGTCAAGAACACTACTGGTTCCGCTTCCGCTCTTGGTCAGTCCGCTGACGCTGCCGTCACCAAGCGCCAGGTCCCTGACGTCGCTCCTGTTGTTGGTGGTGCCACTGGTGCCGTCGAGCCTGTTGCCAACACTGCCACTGGTGCCGTTAAGCCTGCCGTTGACACTGTCGAGGGTGCCGTCAAGCCTGCTGTCGACACCGTCAAGGGCGCTGTTGAGCCCGCTGTTAACACTGTCAAGGGCGCTGTCGACCCTGCCGTCAACGCTGTCAAGGGTGCCGTCGAGCCCGTTGTCAACACTGTCACCGGTGTTGTCTCTCCTGTTGTCGACAACGTCAAGGGCGTAGCTGGCTCTACCGTCAAGACCGCCACCGACAAGGTCGGCTCCACCGTCGACGACGTCAAGAACATTGACGTCTCTACCGATGTTCTCGGCGCTGCTAAGGTCGACGCCTCCCTATAAAGGCGCTGCTAAGCTATGACGGTCATGCTTCGAGCGTAACGCAATCTTTCGGCGTCCATAGCGAGACGCATTTGTACATATATCCTAATCTGTAGTAACATCTAATCAGAAATACCCCCCTAACTTCATCCATTGCTCGTGAACATGATAAGTCGAGAGTGACTAGTGATGATCCTTGACAGCCCGCTACTTTGTACTGTGCTAATCACGCCCCCGAATGAAGAAATGCTAACTCATCGATGTCAAGTGTATGATGTCCTTTATCGACACGAAATGACGGCGTGGTAGAGTGGGCATGAGCTCTGTCACCCACGATTGAGCTCGATAAGCAGACGAGAGTTGTCTCATCTCTAGCCACAGTCTTGCGCCATATCCAAGCTCTTGAGTCAACCAATATAGGATTCTGTGTAATCACCTTGTTTCTGTGTCGACACATGATACAACATTTATTCTGAATGTTATCTATTGAAGCTTCATCGAGTTGCGAAGAGTGTATTACCTTGGCATTGGTTGTGCTCATGATGTGAGTGGTGGTCTGTATGTACCACGGTATAGAGAGTGGAGCCGAGGGCCATCCGTAGTTCAGGACACACATCTTGGGTAAGAGAGGCTATCACCAAGTCTTAGCTCCATGACAAGTGAGAGGTCCTTGGGATCGACTGCCACGTATTTATACGCAATCTATTGCCGTACGACGCGTCTCCCTTCGACTTCAACACACATTCCTTCCACAATAACAGTAACTTTACCCCGGGAAGGAAGACATGGAGTCTCAGAGTAACCCACACAAGCGACAGAAGCTTGGTTTCGAAAAGTAAGTCTTAAACTACATCTGAGACAGGTATACTGACAACATTGGTTCCAGCTACTCAGATTCAAAGGTCCTATCCGACATTACGATTCGATACGGAGCTTCGGGAGAGCGTACCTTTGAAGGTCACAGACTGCTGCTAAGTGCGAAGTCGTACTGGTTCAAGGCAGCCTTTACCGGTCAATTTGCAGTAATGCCAGTCTTGCACGACAGATATGTATGTTCCTACTGACCTGAGAAGGAAAGCTCCGCCAAAGAGATCACTCTAAAAGAAGACGACCCCGATGCTCTCAGGGCTATGCTCAATTACGCATACGATGAGAAGTCCGTACCCTGGCCAGACGATTCGTTAGCTGGTACTACTTTCGACATCCATCATATCTTAGACCTGTACCGTGTTGGGGACAAGTACGACTTTCCCTCATTTCGGCTGCAACTTATCTTTCGGCTCATGACTGCTTTGAGGAGGTGGTTCTCTCGACCTAGCGAGCCTTCTATCGGATACGCTGCTGAATCTGAGGAATTCTGCGAGATCATCAGGAAAGTCTACGACATCGTTGGTTCAGAACATCAGGAGGACCAGGACTTAGTGGAAACTTTCCTCCAGGCAATAGACGAGCACCCCTCCGCTCGCATTCTCAACAACACCGGCGGCAAGCAGGGTATAATAGTGAAGGCATCCCGAGAGGTAGCAGAATTTGGACGAGACATCTTCCTGCACTTAATGTACATTGTTGGAACCGAGGATCACAAGGACGGAACAGTATCTACAACCGAGTTGTGTACAGGAATCAAGGTCGTATGTTTGCTTTGCGAGGAACGTTGGTGGAAAGTGGTAGTAGAGGGGCCTGTTGAGGGACCTGTTGAAGAACAGGTGATGGGGTGCATACGCGAGGATTGCGATGGTTCGATGCAAGATTTGAGGGTCTTAAGGCGAAGTGATCCATAGTCTTGCTGGTATGCTTGCATGGATGCAAAAGTGGTAGCGCGGTCTTGCCTCGGCAGCGGAGATCTCCGGCACTACCGGCAGGCCACCCTGAGCTAGGTTTCAACTTTCCAATGTTTCCCCCTCGAATTGCTGTCCATGAACTTGCGATTCCACCAGCCTGCCACTTTAACGACGTTACGACCCATTGACGACCATTTTGCATATCCCGCTCTCTTTTCTGTCTTTCTGAACTGTTAGAGATACTACGCGTGGCTCCTACCTAGCTCGGAACCGTCTGCGACCAGCCATACCTAGAACACACGCTCTCGCGCAATCACGCCTCACCGCTCCAGACCTTAGCTACTCGGCTCACACGACTTGCTATCGCACTCGCTCTTTACGTCGAAACATCACACCCTCCTTGTCTGCCCACCATGCCCGAAACAACCAAGGTCGTGCCCCTCACCTGCCACGGCCACTCGAGACCTGTGCCGCATATTCACTTCTCGTCCCTGGTAGACGAGGACCAATACTATATTATCTCAGCATGCAAGGATAACAACCCCATGCTCCGCGACGGAGTCACGGGAGACTGGATTGGCACCTTCCTGGGCCACAAGGGCGCCGTTTGGCAAGCGAGACTCTCCTCGGATGCCTCATTGGCAGCGACGGCCTCTGCAGATTTCTCTGCGTAAGTCTAATAAAGCATAACGCGTGGAGATGGTGCTAATAACTGACAGCAAGGTCTGGGACACACACACCGGTGAAGCACTACACACACTCTCGCACAACCACATCGTACGCGCCGTCGCGTTCCCCAACCAGCCCCACCCCCAGATCCTCGCGACAGGAGGCATGGAGAAGAAGTTGCGTATCTACGACCTCTCACGTAGCGACGCGACGAGCTTCGAGATTGGCGCAGGTGTTCACACCGGAACCATCAAGTCGATCGTGTGGACATCGGATCCGAACGTTATAATCACAGCTGCCGAAGACAAGAAGGTGCGGTGGTGGGACTTGCGACAAGAATCCACAATCGGCGAGCATGCCGTCGAAGGCACTGTTGGCTCTTGCGAGTTGGATAACACCTCCTCGGAGGGCATTTTGAGCGTAGCCGCTGGAAACAGCGCCTACTTCTTCAACAGCCAGTCGCCCGGATCGCTCATCAAGAGCATCAAGACACCGTACGAGATTGCCAGTGTGGCTCTGCACAATGGGGAGCGGAAGTTTGTCACTGGTGGCAGCAACCAGAACGATACCTGGGTCAGGGTCTGGGACTTTGACGAGGAGAAGGAGCTCGAGACCAACAAGGGCCATCACGGACCTATCTGGTCGGCAAGCTTCTCGCCTGACGGAAAGCTATATGCGACAGGCAGTGAGGATGGAACAGTCAAGCTCTGGAAGTTCACATCTGGACCGTACGGTCTGTGGAAATAGAATTTCGCATGACCAGCGCTGCCTCTGGTCACAACTATGGCCAAATACAACATTCCAGTGCCCCAATGATAGCAAATACGAGACAAGTAGCCTTTACCACTTCGGACATTTTGGACAAGCTGTTGCAAATCGTGGTTCTTAACAATGACACATTTGGAGCAGGTGAGCAGAAGCGTGGCGAGACCATATCGTAATCGCAGCGTTGGAGTTGACATTACATTCGCGCGCTATCTCAGGCTACTACTCCAACCAGGGTAACTGTACCCGCGGAATTATCCGATTCGACATGCCGAAGGATCATCAACACCAATGGCGTGCAGCAACATCGTCCACCTGCATATGCTACGGCCGGCCTAGGTAGCGATATGCAATGCTCAACACAACGATAAGACTGCCTTGGCAAGATAGCCGATAACTACGTCGACGGCCGTTGCCAAGGGTGGGAGGCCTTGACCGATACAACTTAAGTACAGACATCGTATGCCCGCTGTGTGTATTGTATCTCTACACATCACCTACCGCCTGCGAGAAGTCGTTGCCAGGGTCTTCGGTTGTTGCGTCTCTACCCCTCCCCGATCAGCAGCTGGATCCGGACTTGAAGCACCAACATCCTTGCCAGCAACTGCGCAAAGTCAAAATGGGGGAGAAAGAGGAAATCTCGCCAGCGCGAGAGCCCAGTATTGATGAGGGGCAACTCGCTGCTGAGAAGCAGATGCGCGATATCGGTGCAGATCTGTATCTCGAAGTCCAGCAATACTCAAGAGAAGAGCTAGAAGCCGAGCGCAAAGTCGTCCTAAGAAAAATCGACTGGGTCATCATGCCAATGGTACTTTCCCTCCAACCCGACCCCCCAAACCACAAGGCAGCACAGCTAAGAGAACCAGATCTGCATAACATACATGATCCAATTCCTCGACAAACTCTCCCTAAACTACGCAAACGCCTACACCCTAACCCCCGACCTTGGTCTCCAAGGCGACCGCTACGGCTGGGTCGCCGCCATCTTCAACTTCGGCTACCTCTTCTGGGCGCTCCCTGCAAACTACCTCATCCAACGCCTCCCAGTCTCGAAATACACGGGTCTGATGATCCTCCTCTGGTCCATCCTCCTCTGCTGCCACGTCGCCGCGAAAAACTACTCCGGCATGCTAGCTCTCCGCTTCTTCCTCGGCATGTTCGAAGCGAGTATCAGTCCCGCCATCATGAATATAGTCAGCATGTTTTACCGCCGCGACGAACAACCCGTTCGCATGTGCGTATTCCTTGCTTTCAACGGCATGGCAACTATGGTCGGTGCGCTGCTCGGGTACGGTCTCGGCCACGCGCATTCTGCGCATATCAAAACGTGGCAACTCATCTTCCTCGTCATCGGCCTGTTGAACTTCGTCTGGGCGTGGGTGTTCCTCTGGATCATGCCTGATAGTCCGTCCACCGCCAAGTTCCTGAACCATAAACAGCGCATCGTGGCGATTGATCGTATCGCGAGTAACATGATTGGTGTTAAGACGAAGCAGTTTCAGAAAAAGCAGGCGCTGGAGGCGGTGCTGGATTTCAAGGTACTTTGCATTAGTCTGATTGGGCTTTGCTGTGGAGTTATCAATGGCGGTGTGTCGAACTTTTCGTCGAGTTTGATAAGGGGATTTGGGTTTAGTGGCATTTATGCCACGTTGCTCCAGCTTCCGACTGGGGCTATTGAGTTTGTTGTTGTGCCGCTTTGTGGACTTGCGGCGGGTTACTTCCGGGACACGCGTTGTCTTATATTGGCTTTGGTCTGTCTGCCGCCGTTGGCTGGATTGTTGGGAATCCGACTTACGCCGCTATCGGAACGCTGGAGTCTTGTTGGATGCACATGGCTACAGTACATTATTGGCGCTCCGGTTATCCTGTCCTGGAATTTGCTTACGACAAACATCGCGGGTCACACGAAGCGTAGTACTGCAAACGGCATGTGGTTCGTCTTCTACGCGGCGGGCAATATCGCGGGTGCGAACATCTTCTTTGCAAGGGAGGCGCCGAGATACTTCTCGGCGTTGACGGGGCTTATCGTTTGTTATTGCGCGATGGTGGTGATTGGGGGTGTGCTGGCTCTGTGGATGGGATGGGAGAACAAGAGGCGGGATAGGAAGTATGGTCAGGGCGAAGATGATCAGGCCATTCGGGATGGATTCAGCGATTTGACGGATAAGCAGGCGAAGCATTTCAGATATGCGTTGTAGAACGGATAAGGATCAACAGAGACATTTTGATAGTTACTATTTGTGCTTTCAAGAAGAGATGCTCAACCTTCCCAGATCCTTCACAATGTCATCCCCCTTCACATCATGCTTATCCACAATACCTGGCGAGAATCCAATGCCTTCGCACCCTCCTTCATCATCGAAATCAACATCCAGTATTTCTTTTGTAACCCACTGCGCCGTCTTAGCATGCAAACTCGGTTCCACCGACACTTCCTTCCTCTTTCCCCCGTACACCTGGCTCCTTCCTTCCGCGAGTGCCTGGAACACAACTAACTGGTCGCGCAGATACTCATCCACGCAGCCACCATGCTCGATCTCTGCTAACAAATTAGCGGATACCTTCTTCACAATGGTAGGGATGATCTGTTCGAGCGTTCCAGCCCGAACCCCACGATCATATAGCCAGTCGCGGCCAAGCTTCATGCCAGTGGACGTGGTAGCTGCTAGTAGGAGGTAGTAACGTTTGTCGTGGTGTGAATCTTCAAAAGTAGTCTCCACCCTATCATCGTGTCCACCCGCATAGCCGAAGAAACAAGACCCTAGACGCTCCAACATAACATCGAGTTCCTCGCGAAACTGCCGCTCAGTATCTTTGGGTGCGATGGCGGTCGCCGTTAGACTGATGATTTCTCCTCTATCGAGTAATTGAAACGCTGATAGTCTTTCTTTCATGGGCGGAATTGTGAACGTGACGCTACCAACAGTAGCACTTCCTTGTGACCAACCCCGTGAGTGGATCTGAATGTCGATGTGTGGTATACCGATAAGGCTTAGCATTGGTACGAGGACCTGCCCAACATAATCGATGGACGGGGAGTTGGAAACGTTGGTGCCTCCATCAATGCGTACACGCATCGACGTTTGAACTCCAGAGAAGATGATGTACGGTAAGATGGCTTGTAGGACTAGATTGACACTTCCGGGGGTATTCTGTTTGATGCGTACTTGGCCAACACTCAGTGCACTGTTGATACTTTCGACGGTCTTGGATGGGCTGAAAGTGATTTCCTTGCTCTTGAGTTCTGCACCGTTAATGTCTGCATCGCTTGCCTGGCCTAGCCACTGCACGCACGTCAAATGCTGAGCTTTGAGTCCTCCACCGCCAGATCGCTTGCCTCGGATCTTGTCGATGTGGATTGACTTTTTCGTTAGGCTCGAGAGGCCAAGGGCTACCCGTAGGAGTTGGCCTCCACCTTCGAGCGTCGTACCGTCTAGATATATCGGTGTCGGGGTTTGATGTGCGGACGCCATGGCTATGGAAAATGCTGCTGAATGACTACACAGCTTACTGATAAGTTACGTGCAGGAGTAGAACATACTCCGAGATGCATCGCTGTTGGGGCTGAGACATGCGCTGATGCCTGGTGTATGAGTGAGGATGACTCAGGCGGTCGCACTTTCCCTTCACGCTGCGAATGAGCCGTAAGGCCACCCAGCTGTAGGAGGTATCTATTTAGTCACATTTGCGCCTTGTTCGTTTGAGAGAGTGAACTTCTTTGTGGAAACCTCATCGATTGGGCGTGGGAGTGAGCAAGGAGACGACCTAGAGCGCGCAAAGCTGCAGCGTCCCGCGACTATGACGTCGTGTAGTGACAAACATTCAGACAATAGACATATATACAAACACTGGGCATCTGGACCGTGATGATTGCAAAGACGCTTGAAGGCGAGCGTGGAGTTGGTGGTGCCTTGCTTCAGGGACTCTCGGAGATCGAGCCGCGGCACGCAAGCGATCGACGCGGCGGTCCTGTCGTCATCAGCGAGGCGCCGAACTTTTGATTGACATGTCCGAAGTCGTCCACTCCCACGTCCGCACGTCCATCGCCATGTCGAATGCCTCCATAACGCCTCAATTCGCTCATCACGTCCGGTAGCCGCATCGTCTACCCCCCGCCAGCCATGCGCGCCCCGCTGGCTTTCTCCGCAAAGGCCTGGCACGGCCCAGGCAACGGAGCCCTCTTTTCCAATATACAGTCGCGCATCTCGACGACAACACCCGCCATTTCGAGATCCTTCGCTACGACACCCATACCGAAAGCTTCAATATCCAAGGCGTCACCGAACAGCTGCGCGCCGTCCCTCTTCGCACCGTCATCAATCCTCCGATTCGCAGCCGCGGGCACCACACGCAACAATGGTCTACACACACCAGCTCGCATGTTCACGACATCGCGACTACTAGCCGAAGCCTCAAGCAATGCCAAGCCTGCGAGGCAGCGCATATCATACAAAGAGGAAATCAAACAGAAGGGCATCGTAGACCTAGAGGAGCACGATGGTGAGCCCGAGAACGAGGAACAAGGCTTTGCAAAGTCTGAAAAGGCGGCGCAGGCGAAACAGGTCAATTTGAGCGCCAAACTCAGCAAAGACGGGTCTGGCGCTGCAGGTGCACCAGGCGGCATGAAGGAGATCTGGAGACTGATCAAAATTGCCCGACCTGAGCTAGGTGTACTCTCCTGGGCCTTCCTGTTCCTGCTCCTTGGTTCTGGCATTTCCCTCTCGGTACCCTTCTCAATTGGTAAAATCTTGGACGCCGCTACCTCGACTGAAAATACCAATGGTCTACTATTTGGTGTTTCTCCATCTATCTTCTACTTCGGGCTGGCAGGTGTCTTGACGACCGGCGCTGCTTTCAACTTTGGACGTATTATCATCCTTCGAATCGTCGGAGAGCGCATCGTCGCACGTCTTCGATCGCAGCTCTACCGCAAGACCTTCGTCCAAAACGCCGAATTCTTTGACGCCAACAGGGTTGGAGATCTTATCTCTCGTCTCGGTTCGGATACCATCATCGTTGGAAAGAGCATCACACAAAACTTGTCGGACGGTCTACGCGCACTCGTTAGCGGTGCAGCTGGTTTCGCCATGATGGGTTTCGTCAGTCTGAAGCTTACTGGTATTCTCGCACTCATCGCCCCGCCTGTCGCCCTCGTCGCCTTCTTCTCCGGTCGATCGCTCCGAAACCTCAGTCGTAAAATCCAGAAGAACTTGGGAACATTGACCAAGATCGCCGAAGAGCGGTTAGGCAACGTTAGGACAAGTCAAGCCTTCGCTGGCGAGGTTCAAGAAGCATCACGATACAACCGGCAGATTAAGAGGATATTCGCTCTGGGAAAGAAAGAAGCTGTCGTCGCCGCGAGCTTCTACGGAAGTACTGGACTAATGGGCAACCTGACCATCATCTCCATCTTGTATGTTGGTAGTAACATGGTCAAGAACGGCGTCATCTCGATCGGTGAACTCTCCTCATTCTTGATGTACACCGTCTATGCTGGTTCTAGCATGGTTGGTCTTTCCGGCTTCTACGGCGAGATGATGAAGGGCGTCGGAGCTGCCAGTCGTCTCTTCGAACTCCAGGATCGCAACCCAACAATATCTCCCACCAAGGGTCTGCCGGTCAAATCGGCGCGCGGACCCATCGAATTCAAGAACGTCAACTTCAGCTACCCAACCAGACCCGCGGTAACTATCTTCAAGGACCTCAGCTTCAGGATTGAGCAGGGTACCAACGTGGCTATCGTTGCACCTAGCGGAGCTGGAAAGTCCACAGTCGCCAGTCTCCTTCTACGTTTCTACGTTCCCAACTCCGGAACTGTCACAATCGATGGCCGAGACATCACCACCTTGAACGCGAAGCAATTGAGAAGGAAGATTGGTTACGTTGGACAAGAGCCCGTACTATTCTCTGGCACCATCGCGGAGAACATCGCATACGGCGTACCGAACGCTACACGCGCTGAGATCGTGGCTGCTGCTCGAAAGGCCAACTGCCAGTTCATCAGCGATTTCGTACGTACATCCCCTATGATGTGAGAGTTTCGCTAACAAGTACAGCCTGATGGCCTTGAAACACACGCTGGCGCCAGAGGTACTCAACTCTCGGGAGGCCAGAAACAACGTATTGCCATTGCACGAGCACTCATCAAGAAGCCCGACATCCTTATCCTCGACGAAGCCACGAGTGCTCTGGACGCCGAGTCTGAAACTCTGGTGAACCAAGCGCTTAACAAGCTTCTCCAAGAGAACAACACGACTATCAGCATCGCCCATCGTCTATCAACGATCAAGCGGTCTGACCGTATCATTTGCATCGACTCTGAAGGTAGGGTAGCCGAAGAAGGCACCTACGAACAACTCAGCTCGAACCCAGAGGGCGCATTCAACAAGCTCATGGAATGGCAGATGAGCGGTGGTGACGTGCCTGCTAAGGACGTCAAGGCCCCAAAGCCTACCGAAGAAGAGGAAATCGAGCGAGAGCTTGATGAGGAGAAGGAAGAAGCTGCTGGCCGCAACCGCGTCTAGTGAAGCTGCATCTTTATTTGTATCACATCCAATGGCAGTCGTGGCGATTTTGCGCGACTCTCCTGCTTCTTCATGGAAGCAACGGTGGGCAAGCCCGCCACCAACAATGAACCTCCACACCGCACCAAGGCTGCTACAGCGGTACGTTTGGGCCCAGACACGCATTCCAAAAGCAAAATGTGCTCCGCAGGGATACCTGAGAGTGGTCGCCCTCGTGCATGACGCTATTTGAGTGGTACTATTTGGTCAAACATGTGAACTTCTACAATCAAGTTCCTATATTGCCATAGCCTAGCATATAGTATCACGTTCTGACTACCCAAGCATGTGAGGCTTGTAGCTATAATCAAACAATCATTCTCCTCTCAGCATCACTCCACATTCTGCAAGACACATCGGGACGCTCCGCTAGCTCCTTTAGTACCCTGATCTCACCCTGCATGGCAATGTCATAACATAATCAGGTACGACACCACTCATGGCACGCACCACAGTCTGATACATGAGAAGCTACCAATCAAGACGTTATTGATCTTACTAGCGCACCAAACGAGGCAATCTCCCCGTACATCGTGAGGTAACGCGATGGTGACGTCATGCATACCACACAGTCTAGACCCTCCACACCTAACGCGCGCTGACGCGATGTATACCGTGATGTCGTCAAAAGCAACGTGCCATATAATCCCCATCTCACTCTCCACGTACACTCATTCCTCCCAAAACCAATTCTTCCCTAAATGCTCAACACCACATCCCGTCTCCTCCGCCTCTCCACATCCACACTCACAAAGCGAACGGCCACACCCACCACCACAAAGTCCTTCAGCACAGTAACCCCCCGCCTCTACGCCGCCAAAATGGACGCCTTCAAGAAAGTCGGAAACCGCGAGAACGCGCCCCCAAAACACGAAATGGTGCATTTCCCCGGCCTCATGAGCGAAAAACGCAGCTTCGGCGACTTCCGCACCGTCCTGCACACAGGCCTCTATTCTCAAATCGTCGCCATGGAAGTCCCCGTCAACGGCGAGATTGGGGATGAAGTTCACACCGTCGACCAGATCCTGCTGTTTACATCAGGAAAGGGACTCGCGACGGTGAATGGCAAGGACCAGGAGGTCAAGGCCGGTGATGTGGTTGTTGTGCCGGCGGGGACGCAGCATCAGTTTGTGACTAAAGGGGATCAGCCGCTCGAGTTGATTACGGTGTATGCGCCTGCGGAGCATCTGCCGAGTAGTGTGCATAAGACTAAGGAGGAGGGGGATAAGGCTGAGGAGGATGAGATTGATGAGGCGCCTGAGTGGGCGTTGAAGCCGAAGAGTGAGAATGAGAAAAATGGGTTGGTTAAGGAGAGTGGGAAGTATTAGAGTAAGAAGGGTGTGTAGTCTGAATGACACGCGTTCTTAATGGAGCTGGTGGATTTTCTGTCTTTGTTGGTGTAAAAGATCGTGAACCGGGGTACGTCCTCGCACGACTCATACGCGAGGAGATACTCTACGAAAGAAAGAAGTATCGCATCTCCAAGAACCCCCAGGTTACGTCCATGACTGGATATCGCGTAGGAGGTTAGACCTCAACCCATTCCGTAAGCTCTTCCTTGCGGACCTTGTGTCGCAAGAGCCTCTTCTCTTTGCCCTCTCCATCAAAGACGGCGGGTACGATTTGTATGTTGGACTCACTGCCAAACTTCATCTTAACATCCCATGCCTTCCCTTGTTTGAGCTCCCCAATATCGTCCGCAATCCTGAGAGCCTTGTACTGAACACCGTCTCCCAAAGTATCGCCCCAAAACCGACTTGATTGCGGGCGCTTGCTGCGACCGCCTTCAATATCATTTTCGGGATTGAAGTTACACACCAACCACGGCGCGCCTGCTCTTCCGTTCTCCTCAATGGCTACGACGAGGATGAAGTTAGAGTCAGACCAGGATCTCTGCCATTCGTTTCTTTTAGCCCTTTGTTTGTTACTTTCCAAGTCACAGTCCTTAAGGTAGAACACCCGGCCCAGCTGGATAAACACAAAGCCCGTGGCGTCGTTGCCTGTGGACTCGTTTAGGAGACTAGATCGATCGGGTTCAATATCCTTGGGCTGGGCTCCTGCGGTCTCGGTCTCGGATGCTGTCTTCCATATGTTGATACCAAGTATATCTTTGAATTCCGGCCACTCGCGTTCATCATCCCAGTCCACGTCTTCATCCTCGTATATCAGTTTGATATACCCATCGGGTACTAGGCTGAAGTGGTAGTCGCAATGCATTCCCAGTTCGATCCAATGCAGTGTGTCATAGACGGTTTCGCGCGATTCTCCATCATGAAAGTCGGTCTCTTGGATCGCTTTGATGAGGTCGGCGGCGGTTGGACGTGGTTGGGCTTGGCGAACGCGTTCTGCTTCCTCATACTCTTGGTTCATTTGCTTGCGCCTCCATTCGTGATATCTGTCTATACTTGCTACGTCGGGGAGGAGTTGTGGTATGTCTCGGGGCTGGCGGTCAGAGCCGTCGTCGTTGGGGCTGGGATGGCCAGCTTGCGACATGGCGCCGGCCATAAGTTCTGCGAAGATCTTCTCGCAATCGGCGTCGGTTAGGGATGACATGGTATCTTTACGTTTGCTTGGGTAAGTTTGAGTGAGAAAGAAAGAGGAAGAGAGAAGTCAAGTTCAGTTTTGCTGTGTGTGAAAAGGCAACTTTGTTGCGCATAAAAGCTCTTCGGGTGAACCATGGTACCGTCAGTGAGTCACATCGTCTATGATCCAGACTTTGAACCCTCTCCAGATAGAAAAAGACATCGGTTTCGTCCACTTCAATTAGTATTATTCGATGTGTTTGTACTACGATTCCATGCTCGTGAAGATGGCCCTGGCCTGTTCAGCTAGTGTATGTTTCGCGTAGTGATACCTATGTAGTAGTCTTATTCTGAAGACTAGGCCCACGGCTTTCCAAAACATCTAGGCTTGATACGACTGCTACTGCATCGAACTTGAATGCAATGATTAGTTGACCACGGTGTACATTAACAGTTGATGTGTAATCTGCACATGCCCGACTAGACCTTTGAAACTCGGAAATATGGTGGGTGTTCCAGTATGAAGACATCCCATTCGCCGTTTCACTGCCGCCACCTTGAAGTGCAGCTCAATCACCCATCAGTATGCAACCTCTAGCCACCTCAACGACCCTCTTCAAAGATCATTTGTCGTACGAGCTTCCCCCTCGAGGTAGACGACATGTTTACCGCGGCGACAAGCTGGGGACTGTAGTCATCACCAAACCGGCTCGTCATGACCCATTGCTTGTCAAATCCGAGCTCATCAATGTGCTCCCCAATCTTTATGGCAATATACTGGTTACCAGAGCCTGGAAGCGTCCCCCACTCGTCGTCAGTCTGCGGGATGCGGAACCGGGAGCCCTCCAGTTCGTGTACTGGCCTGAAGTTGAATAGCAGCCACGGGGCTCCCGCACTTCCGTCGTCTCGGACTACTACAACGAGAACGAAGCCGGAGTCCAGCCACGGCATCTGTATGGGGGTCTTGTTGTCGTCGTGGTACTTCTTCCTTCTGGACTCATCGAGGTAGCACACTCTGCCTAGTTGCATGAATACGAACCCGGTGCCATCGTTACCAGTGGAGATGTTGCTGCTACTAGACTCGTCCGAGCTGTGCTCCTTACGTCTGTCTCCCGTCCACGGAACTGTCTTCGACAGGTTGATACCAAGGATACAATTAGGCATCGGCTCGCGTTCATCGTTCCCATCAATGTCGTGATCTTCCGGCCTCAACTGGAACAGGTCTGGCCTCAGACAGTAGTGGTAATTGCCATACGTTCCAATGTCGATATGAGAGTACAAGTCGGTCCCGAGTAGGTTGCATAGGCTTCCGCGCGAAATTGGGTCGAGTAAGTCCACTTCTCCTATGGCCTTGATGATCTCGTCGGCGCTTGCAGGCTCTGGAAGCTGTCGACTGAGCTTGGTCCGCTCACGACACCAGGCTTTGTACTTCTCTAGGCTGTCCTGCATCATAGCGTACGAAGTCAGCGTATTCATTACAAGCCTTTCGTACAAGGATATTCTTACATGATCTGGGAGCAAAGCCTCCATGCGCGCTTGAACCTTGGTTTCGATTGAAGGGTCTCTATGTAGGCGCGGGCTGCCGTCTGGGTTCTTGTAACCAGTCCTCGACAGATCTCGTAGCTCTGTGTAGATCTCCTTGCATCGCTCATCGGTCATCGTCATAGCAGATTAACTTTTGCAGTTGTCCCGCGTTTTGGGAATGGGAACGGTGTTTTGCGAATTACTTAATGAGTGATTCAGGAGTGTGGGCGAAGAAAGTGGTTGGTGCACTGAGAGTAGGTTGCTTAAAGACGGGCTGCTTGAATGTTGGTGATCGCAATTCACCATGGATCTGATCCAGAACTTGATGGCTATGCACACTTCTCGAACGAGTGGGTGTGGGTGCACACACAAACTGCTTGACCCAATAGTTCGATAGCTAAACGCAATTCGCGCACGCATAGCGCAAGCATCAACCCCCGACCACGGTCGTTGCAGGACCACAACCAGTTGTTACGGAAAGCTCATTCCACCCGACGTTCGCTGTTCTTTTTGAGTCGTGCTCAACGCTGCAATGAACCCTGGAAGAACCTGCCAAGCCTTAGATTGTTTTCTCGACAGCGCACGATGTGCCAAGTACAGCCATGAACGTCCGTAAGTGAGGGTCCTCATTTTTGATTCGTATGATCAAGATCAGGGCTCGTATCATTGTATCGTTTACACAGTTGACTCTGTACTCGGACTGAGGTGGGTAATTAACGAAGCATATCGCATCGCCAGCTGACCTTCATGCGTATCCGAAACCAGAACTTGGAAAATCGCAAGTTCGGAAAGTGGGGGAGAAGTTCGGACAGGCTGCTGGACAAGCAGCGGGATTGTTAGTTCCGTTTATCGGTATGGAAGAGACACAGGCTACTCCGTTTGAATTGATCAAGAACTAACCGTGATATTCCATCGTGACTTTGCTTTCCGGGTGATGTATGGGTTTTCGTCATATTGCAGCTGGGTTAGTCACGTATTACTACAAGCGGTAAGAAGGATTTCCGGTGATCTCACAAACCTCCACATAAGAGTAACGACTGGAACGGTACCCCAACTCAGGGTCGTGGCAGTTGCATCACAGATCTGCAATTGAGACTCGAGGCGTGTGGGGCCGCTAAGAGAGCGTTTTCAACGTTCTTCCACCATGGCGGAACACGATAGTGACGCGGACCCTGCGCGCGTTCGCGGTGGTGGGTGATGGTCTGTCAGCCTTGCCGTGGCGTAGTATGACATGCTTAGAAGCAGTCTGAACTGAAATACGGGTGTAAGTATCAGGCATATCCTGACATTGGGCGAACGCAAGTCTTGGTGCGGTAAGTTTTCGTGTGGCGTTGCAACGACGTAATAGCGCTGCAATACCCCGATCGCGACACCCTCGCGAAGGAACTGGATGCACTCAAGATGAGGGGAAACATGGCAGGATTAGTGTCTTCAGAGAGGAGCAGCGGCCGGAGTCACGATAGGTAGCTCGCGGGGTCGGGCTCTGAGCCGAAGTTTGGTTATCAGATGCGATAACCGCCGAGAGACCGAGGACCGGGCGGCGTGACAATGGCATGTTACAGAATTTGCGCGACTATGTGCCGAGAAGGTATGCGCTTCAGCTCATAGTAGTTGCGGTGAAGGCTGGTGGTGTAATATAACGCGTTGGGTGAGCACCGTGATCAGGAGATTGGGCTGATGCCGTGGGCGCAGCCAAGATGGTCGTGAGATGGTTTGATCTAGGTCTATGTCGGATAAAGTAGGACAAGACAAGTGGGAATACGAGCGGTTTCGGCGATGGGGCGCAGGCAAGCGTCATTCGGCAGAAGTGGGCGTTCGGGATGCTCATCTCAGCCTTGAAGGCGTCGTTGATCGGCAGTAGGAAAAGCGTCCGGGCGCGGCCTCTGTCGAACATTTGTCCATCACCACCAGGCCTCACCTCATGCCCACACCCTCTGCCACGGCTAGAATCCGCCCAATACGAATTATTCCACAGTCACTGTCCATCGTGTCACCGGTCTCGGGAATCCGCACGCGGCTGCCACTCGGTCGTGTTCGTTTGCCAGCCAGTCGAGGTGAGTGATGCCACGATCTGATAAGAAATTCGGTTGCATCGAAGCATCAGATAACCACCACCATCCCCCACATGCTCTGCGGTCGCACATCTCCGTCGTCCGCGGTTCAACAAGCAAGTGCGCCATGCACTCGTGCACCGCGCCTTGCTGTTGCATTGAATTCCCCAGGCCCATACCAAGTCAGCTCTTGCTAATCATGGTCCGCGCTAGCAGTCCCCTTTGTCGCGTCCCCGGCAGCACGCCCATCGCTCCTTCACCTCACTCCACGCAGGCACATGGCAACCTCGACAGCGACCATGCCCAGCCCCATCCCTACCACGGCGACCTCCCACCCTGACGACCCAATTCCTGCCGAGCCAAAGGAGATCCCACAGCTCTCGCTCCGGCCCTCGCCGGCACAGCAGTCGCAGCCGGAGCAGACCTCACCTAAGTCGTCCGGCGAATCCACGCTGTGGACCACCAGTAGCGATGAGTCCGAGGCGCCTATGACGCCAATGACGGAGCCCGATCAGGGTGTCGAGGAAGTAGTCGATAAGCTACAGGAATTGCCTACCTCGGCTGTCAATTTCTCTGGGCAGACGCGTCCTCGCCGCGCATCTACCACACTCATTTCGGACAACCCAAACGACATCAGACGGATACTGGGCGAGGGTGAGACGGCCACCAAGCTCATCAGCCAGTGCTGCGGTGGAGGATGCTGTCTGCTCAAGACACTGGCCCCGGACGCATCGTCGCCAAACTTCATACCCGTCGTCGTTCCCGACAACCATGCCTTCCGGAGCCTCAACCTCCAACTGGGTCCGCTCGCCCTCGACAGCGAGCTCACCGACACAATTCCGCTCCCTCCCGCCAACATGTCCTTCGAGCCCCTGCCATCCAAGGACACCAAGTACGTCTCGCAGGTGCACAAGACGCCGCCCAAGTACGTTCAGCCACACCCGCCCTACGAGGTCTACTCGGCACCGCTGTACCACGCACGCGAGTTGACAAAGCCGGGCGCTGAGAAGAGGACCATTCACTTCGATATCGACGTCACCGACTACCCCGACGAGGGAGGCGTCGACTTCAAGGTTGGTGGTGCCGTCGGCATCTGCCCTCCCAACTCGCAGGAAATGGTCGATGAGCTGTTCGATCTCCTCTGCATCCCCAAGTTTGTCCGCGACAAGCCAGTCACACTCAAGACGCAGACTGGAAGATGGCCGACCATTTGGGGCGAAGACCAAGCGCGCGAGCTTGTCACAACCAGACGCGAACTGCTGACCTGGTGTGCCGACATCCAGTCGCACCCGCCCACCAAGAACCTCCTTCGCGTGCTCGCCGAGTATGCCGAAGCCCACAACGAGAAGAAGATTCTGACATACCTCTGCTCAGCCCAAGGACAAGCAGCCTTCTGCGATCTCCGTACTACTTCTCACTTCACAGTCTCACAGATGCTCAGCGCATTCCCTTCGTCCAAGCCGCCGCTACCGCACCTCCTCTCCGTCCTCACTCAGCTGATGCCTCGATTCTACTCCCTCTCCAACGACCCACACATCTCGTCGGCGCGCCCCGGCCTTCCCGGTACCCGTCGCCTCATCGAGATGGCCGTCACAATCCATGAGACACCCGATTGGCATGCTGAGGGTGCTACACGCACAGGTGTAGGCAGTGGCTTCATGGAGCGCATGGCACACGCCTTCATCACAGCCGAGAATGAAGGTGTCGATCCCCGCAGCATCCTCGATCTGCGCATCCCCATGTTCCGCGGGCTCATGGCGAACCCGCTGTCAAAGCAATTTGGTGGTGAAGGCCCCATGGTGCTCATCGGAGCGGGAGTTGGCATGGCTCCTTTCCGTGGTTTCATCCTGAACCGCCTCAAGAACGCCAACTGCGCCAACAAGATCTGGCTCATCCAGGGTGTCCGAGACTCCATGCTCGATGAGCTCTACTCGGGCGAACTAGGCGACCATGAACGCGAAATCAAAAAGGTCGTCCAGAGCCGGAAGGTCAAGGTCGGAGGCTCCAACGAGGTCAAATACGTCCAAGACGAGGTGCGAGTACAGGCTGATATCGTCTGGTTCGTTATCAATGCTCTCGACGGACGTATCTTTGTCTGTGGCTCTAGTAAGGGCATGGGCGAAGGCGTCGAAGAGTCTTTGATCGATGTCGCGATGCAAAAGGGCCGCCTGAGCGAAGCGCAAGCGAAGGAATTTTGGGCCCGAAAGAAAGAGGACGGACAATACATTGCCGTAAGTACAATTTCCGATCATGCCTACCTCAAAAATACTAACGAACACGTAGGAAACATGGTGAACATGCCCTCTCTGAACATCTGTACATACAGTTACGGCTTCCCTTTCGCGACCGCGTCTCTATCCTTATCGCTACCACATTGCCACGGCGTTTGAACAAAAGGTGTTCTTTACAAATCATACAGGCAGAACAAACATTGGTACGCACTTTCAGTCGAGGTTGGCTGTTCATGGCCTCTTCGTTTTCTGGGTTGGGATATTCGTCATCACATTAGAAGGACATGCGCGCAAGAGCATGGCGTTTGTCAAAGGTTGGGAACAGGCAATTTGTTTGCGTTATTACTATTGTCAAGTCTATATCATCAAATCATATGTTGTTGATAGTGGGAAGAGAACGTAATGAGAGATGTTATTACAAGTTGTGGTCTTCTGGTGTCGAAAGCTTGGTGCTTGAGTGAAAGCTGGTATCTTCCCAGTGCGTTTGACAGTATTACTAGGGGTGGCTACCGTTTATGTCGCATCATATAAAGGAATTCCTCGAGGTAGAAGTATACGTTACTTCGTGAACTATCTACTCGTCAGAATTTAATACAACGTACGCCCCACGAGTCCAGGCCACCTCTAGTAGCATACCCTCTTACGAACGTGCACTGTGCGCCAAATCACTCTTTGTCATGAATCTTATGAGTTGATAGAGCCTATCTACAATGCAATAGTCCGGGTTGCGCATCACATGTTGATCGTAAGCCTTGGTTTCAATGTGTCTCAACCATGGTTCTCAACGTTCGCTACTTTACAGCGTTTTAGCACTGGGGTGCAACGAGTTCAATCACTTATATCGCATCTACCAAAACAGCATCGTTCCTCTGTTCTTACACTCTCCATAACGACTAGGACCCCTCTTTGATACGCAATCTCAGGAAACATTATCCTCTAGCATGGCAAGCCAACTCCCAGACGAGGTCCTTCTCCAGATTTTGCACTATCTTCCTAAAAGTGTCAAGCATCCTAACCCCCAAGCCGACTTACTGAATGCGCTCTCGACATGCAAGCAACTGGCACCACTTGCCCGAGAGGTTCTCTTCTGCGCACCAATACTGTACTCAAGTAAGGTCGACCACTTCCTCGCTTCTCTCTTCCAGTACCCAGACCTGCGATACAAGATCCGCAGCCTGACCGTCGAAACGAAAATCCGTGGAATGTGCATAGGACCGAACCCCATTCCAGCACTCGATCCAGACCTACTATCGAAAGCCATCAGCCATATCAGCACACTAGACATCGATCCTCTGACGAAACAACACTTCGCCGAATCCCTGTATGCCGGAAACGAATACGATGGCCCAAGCATCCTCCTCAGCCTCGTGCTGACCATGCTACCCAACCTGCAAGAACTGTATCTCGGGGGCTCGATACTCTACAACTTCCCCTTCCTCCAACCCCTGCTCTACCATAGCAGCCTCTTTCCAGCCCACACCCCCGATCTAGGCGCCCTCCTCCCTCTCTTCAGCCACAAACTCGTCGTACTTGAACTGCCCAACGACTTCCGCACCTCGCCTTCCAGCAGGTCCGACTATCGGGGCTCTGTGCATGGTATTCCGAAGTATTTTCCGAAGTTGCGCACGCTTGTGCTGCCGAGTGATAACGTGGTACATGCGTACTACAAAGAAGTCGTGCCGTCCAAGCTCGAACGGCTTATCCTGACCGACTGTCTCGGTAAGGAGGCAGAAAGGTGGGTGAAGCACGTAGCCATGGCAAAGACAACGCTGTTTCCCAACCTGGCAAAAGTGAGCTTGTATCACTGCTACCCTGGAAATGCCGCTAAAGTGGCGTCACGGGAGTTTATGAAGAAGATGGGTATACTATGTAAGTTTTCCTCCTCTTGAAGATATCATGGTCGACGTTTTTTTCTAACAGTGTCCGGTAGTCTACCAGTATATTCCACTCTTTCATCTCTGGAACACCAATGAGTTTTTCCACCCATGGATGTATGGTGGTGACGAGCTTGATCTTGCAGTGGTGGATATGGATGAAAGAGAACGTAGATGGGATAAGGTGGAAAGGGATGAGAAGAAGAAGCGAGAGGCTAGGAAAATTGCATGGGGTGGAGTTGCAGGCATGCGGAACAACATGGAATTGTAGGAAGGATATGCGCTTGTATTCTTCTTTTCGTACCAGGACTTTATCATCAGTAAGGCCAACGGGCCATTAACGTATTGTTTCGTTAGTACGTTCGCTACAAGCGGACTTTCCCAATTCTACCCGACACCAGGCCAACCTGTGTACAGTCAGTTTCCACATCCTTATATCGAATCTCTCATCCAAAAACTTACTCCAAACAGTCGGCCCATCATTAACCTTGGCAACATTAACTCGATCCCCCACCCTCCACACCTCCTCCCTTCCCTTCCCCCAAAACCCATACCGTCCAAAAACCGGACTCCACTTCGCCCCAACATCAATCCTGCGATCCTTCTGCAGCCGTTTCAGCACCTCTCCACTCGGCCCCTCCCCCGGTTTCCCCGTCTTGTAGTCAATATTGATACTCTTGCACCTCACACAGTTATGCGGAAGCAAGATCTCCGTACCCCCTTTCACCGTAACTTTACCCCAGTAATCTTCTTCGTACGGTTCATACGCGCCCTCCACAACGATATTAGGACGGAACTTCTCGATGTCCATGGTCATTCCCTCTGGTAGCCGGGAGGAAACATCATCGAGACTTGTTTGCGAGCAGAACAGATACGGGGCGCAGTCTGCGAAAGTGATTTTCCAGGTTTCTTCTGCTGAGGGCTTGTGCAGACCCATTGCTTTCTCCACGTAGGAAGCAGTGAACGGGACGTATGTCGATAGGAAACGGGTTAGTGGCGAGGGTGCAGCGGGCTGCATGTCCTGGAATTGGACGGTACGTCGATTGGTACCTAAGTAGACGAAGATGACTGGGTACCCGAAACAGGATGTGAACCAGTCGTTGTACTTTTCGGGCATTAGAAAGGCGGAGGTGGGGCTGGAGTGCATGTCGATGTTGATGGGGGATAGCTTTTCTATGTCGGGTTCTAGCGGGATTTGGATGGATTTCGCTTTTGATGAGTCGCCATAGGCGATGTATTTGACCGTGATAGTGTCATTGGACATTTCTTGGAGGAATTGCGTCATTTCGGGGTATTTGGCTACGGCCATGTTTTTGTAGCCTTCTTCGGTTTTTTGGAGTAGCATGAACGAGCCTGGGTGATTTTAACATTTTTCCAGTGTACAAGGGATGTGGGAAGCGTACGGTCGTGCTTGAAACCATGAGCAGTGGCAACGGCTTCGGTAACCTTGACAGCCCGTAGCGACTTGATGGGATAGATGTATATCTAGCAGTGCTTTCATCAGCACACGATCTCACTCATCTTATAATAATCTAACATACCGCTGAGATCTTCATAGCTGTGAATCGCTGCATCAACGGGCTAAGAAGGTTGAGAAGTTGATACATGCCGAATGGCACGACGCAAAGTGCGGTGATGATCCATATCGGCGACACCTTCTCCATGTTGAAGCTGTGTTCTTCCTCCATGCTGGCTGATCGAACCGTAAATATTAAGAAATGGAAGCAACGGTGGTCTTGGAAGTTGGTGGGTGCGGCTGCAGATGCACCCTGACCCACGTGCACGCCTTACCAAGGCGCCAAGACATGTCAAACCTACTTAAGTAACCTCGGCCATCGGTCATCATCGAACCTGTAGTGACACGCAATGGCGTCAATGTCATACGGCAGCAGTACGAGAGCTGCATTGGGACACGCATTCCAAGTACTCAAGAATGAGATGCACTGTGATACCTACCTAGGTAGATGTTCACAGTCTAAAGCAATCACGGCCTTACCGTGTCAGCTTTGGAGGAAACGCTCTTGGGCAGCTTGAATGAGCTTATTTGATATTGTTCATCTAGTCGCGGTCCTACGATCTGGACCCTTACACTCTCTTTCCGAACACTCGGAACCGCTTCACACCTCCATCCGGAATAATCACCAACTTCGCATGCGTGTAGCCCCTGCCAGCCACCTCCTTCAGCTCAGCTTTATACTCATGCTCCTTATCCGGACCCGTCTTCTGCGGCTCCAGAACCTCAACCCACTCCTTATCATCATGCGAAGGATCCTTGTCAAAGCTTCCAGCAAAGACCTGCACCTTTTGCGGGAAGTTTCCCCTAAAGTGCGCAGTGTCGACAACAATGTGATCGATTTCGCCCTTTGCGCCTAGCCTCACAATCGTCCAGTCGACGTGCTCGCCACGCGTGCGCTTAGTCTCCCATCCGTCACCCATGTCTTTTCCGCGACCAGGGAGGAGGAGATTGTCTTTTGTGCCGAAATGTTGGTCTGAACACGCTGTTGCGACGCCTCCCATGACTGTTGCTGAGAGCTCGAAGATGGCATCTGCGGATTGGGGGAACACCGGCACGGCGACACCGTAGAGGCGGAAACGCGCAATACCACCATCGGGGTACATGAGGAGCCGGACGTGGGTGTACGCCTTTTCCGTGAGGTTTGCCAGCTTCCATCCGTGCCGTTGGCTCGGACCACACTCCTGCTTTGACAGAATTGTCTCCCAACCCTGGTAGCTTGGCTTCTTCACCTCTTCTTCCTCTTTCTCGTCCGTGATAAAAGCACCCTCGACGGCAATTTCTGGTGCATGGTTTCCGTTGAAGTGTGCCGTGTCAATCTCGACACCTGCTACTTTTCCGCTGGCAGTACCCAGTCTCAGTACCACCCAGTCGGCAGGTTCAGTGTTGTGACGTCGGGTTTCCCAACCGTCATACCAAGCTCCCGTATGTACGAAGACACCAGGTTTACGGACTGCTGGAGTCGGCGTTATGAGATTCTCGGCTGCAGCGAAGTATTCATCGCTGCAAGAGAGGACTTTAGAACCAAGAGGTGCAGATATGAGATCTTCATGCTTGTTAGATTTTCTGTCGAAATGCGAGGGTTATGGGCTTCCCACCAGTGTATTGGGACTTGAAAGTACTGTCGATCTCATCAATTGGTATCGATTGCGCAGTGTTCGTGGCTACGCTTTTGACATCTTCTGGTGAAATGGTGCGAATCTCCATTTTGAGAGTATGATATGCAAGAAGGATAAGAAGATAATTGCAGTACGCTGAAGAGAGTGAAAAGTAGGAAGTTTGTTTTGGGATTTAGCTGACTACCAAGAAGTTATGGCGGGGTGGTGGAGTGGTGGGGTAGCCAGACCCTGCGTGCCAACAGCTGCTGCTGCTATCGGAATCCGCCGATGCCTTCGCCGACTCGATGGATATTGACGGGCCGATCACGGAGTGATACCGATAACTAGATAGATACCTTACATAAGACTCTCATTATCGACAGTCATTCAATGTATTGCTTGTAAAGTGTTTGACTCCTCTCGCTGCGAGATGTGCCGATGCTACAGTTAACGCGCTGTTTGCCCGACGGGCCGCACGATAGGGAAACAATTGATGTTTCAGTAGTTGACGCGAAAGATTGGAGTAATGATAAACAGATCTATACATAGCCTGATACTATGGTAATATCCAACTTGTGTGCTGTTGCACCCTTCACCTCCCAACGGAATCAGCATGTTCTTGCGGTTGCAGCCGAAACGTCTGTCTGCATCCTCAGATCTGGTGTGCGTGCCGTGGGGTAATTGATGGAGTACTCCTCTTGGACCGTTTGCCGGACCAGGTGCCACGTGTGTATCCAAGTCATCTGCGGCAATGCAACAAAGAAAGCGACGGTCAGCAGCAACGAGATGTTGTAGAGCGGAACTTGAAAGAATCCGGTCTTCGTCTCAGCCAAGCAGTGTGGACGCGACTATCAAGGTTTCAATTAGCAGGGTTCGCATTACTGCTGATCTTCATTTTCACCCATAGCTCGGATCGTTCCACTGCGAATCTGAATAGTAAGAGCTCCCGTTCTTGTTGTTGCCCCCATTCAAGTCCAACTTGGCCATAAACTCCGGGGGTACGGTGGGGATGTACTTCCGCTCTCGCTCTTTGTTGACACCTCCAAATCCAGCACCGTATGTGATGAGCATGTCTGTTGATGTTGGTAGTGAGAATGGCAGCATGTATGACGGGTCTAGAAGAAGCTCGTCCGGTGGTTCGTCCTTCTCGTCTTCTTCAGACATACGCGAAGGCGCAGGCGACGGCTCGATAGGCTTTTCGGAAGTAGGCCTGACAGGGGTAGTGGGTACGGATTCCGATGCTGGCGGCGGATTAGGCGACTTGGTACGTGCGGCTTTACGATCAGCGGCAGCTTTTTGTAGGTGTACAATGTATTTGGAAGCGCTTTTCGGAAGGCCCTTCTCGCCAACTTCGGGCCGGTAATATTTCGCGGTGTGTAGTAGCTGTTGAGGCGACAGACGTGTCAGCTGTTGTAAAGTCCCCACGAGCGACTCCAGGTCTTCTCCAAGTGAAGAGAAGCACTGAAGCCATTGCAGAAGCTGAACCAGAGGCTCGAGATGACGTTTAGCAGCGTCCGCGGTGTTCTCGCCGGTAGAAGTCATGGAGCCGTTCTCGTAATGTTCGGGTTGCCGGTTGTTGGAACGAGCCCAGTCTTCGAGCGTCGAGACGTTCATGCGTATTTGCATAGCTTTTGTCCGGGCAAGATACTTCCGGTTCGACATTATGCGGTTGAAGACTTCGGCAGAAAGCCAGTAAATGAGCTGCGATAGCACCTGCGCAGCAATGACAGAGTGCACATCATACAGATCGAGGACAAACAGGGTGGATGATAGAAGAGAAGTGATGTTTCGCGGTGATGGCTGTGCCCTGCGCTTTGGAGATGGCGGTCGGAAGCGTTTTTCGAGAGGTTCTAACGGTTTCGCCTTGGGTTTGGAACGAAATATTTTCCATTCGTGCTGGAACTGTACGTCTTCGAAACCAGGCATGGGCTCATGGTCGAGCATTGCTTGATCGAGGTTTTTGTCCATCCTGCGCTCAGCGTCACGGATAATCAAGATGAAAATCTCATTGATGAGTTCTGCCATCTGCAGTTGAAACTCAGTAGTCGCACTCGTGAGCCCGCCGTCTTTCTTGAGGTAATGCAAAAGCAGTGTCGCATTGGACATCCAGAAGGCCAGCACAGTCATATCCCACTGGTGCTTTTCTACAACGTCGTTTAT